TTTGATATATTATTTGGGATTAAAATCAGGCTAGAATGGCTAAATCAAACAGTGTAGTTCTTGATATCAGACAGGCTGATTCCTAGTCAAGTTCGATAACATTATCTAGAATTGAGTTAAAATTGGCTAGAAGCTTTAATTCTATAGTTGATTCATATAGCTAGAATTGATTGGAAAAAGGCTTGGAGATCTATTTTGGGTATTGTTTCGATTTTACCCTAGAACTCCCATTTTATCCCTACTACTGTATCTGTGATAGAAGTTACAGATTATTTGATCGCAGATAAATAGATATTTGGGTAAAATCACTATATTGTGTATCCTATGCATTCAAAATACAAAAGGGTGTAATAATCTCACAACCATGTAAAGGATGTAGTCGAAACACGAAATCGGGCATCCAGCTTTGTGTTCCATGCGGACAGGATAAGAAAAGAGCATATATATATTATAAACAGAAGTATATGGAAAATGAGCTAAAGAAGTAATTTTAATATTTTATCATATGCTAATTAAAGATATCATGTTCATAAGTACTAATCAACTATTATCAGTTTCATAAATGTTAATTTCAACAATTCAAATTCAAAAATCAGATACTTCTAACTATGATTGCTGGACGAAATCAAGAGTTTAGACAGACGTCTAAATGGTAAAAGTAAAATTTGGTTAAATTATATTAAAATCTTATTAAAAATCTGCGAAATTTGAAAAAAGGTAAAACTATATCAAAGCTTATAAAAATGGCGAAATTATATCAAACACTTAGTAAAAATTTAGCGAAACTAAAGGTTTTACCGTTTTGCTAAATCCAAAATGAGTTTAGACAAGCAACCTTACTCCTAACGAAGTACTTAACCTTCTAACCAGACGTTAGATCAAAATTAATGGAAAGCTATTTCAGAAGATAATTCACGAAGGTTACAGATACACTGATAGACTTTCAGATTATTTAGAAGATATTGGAACTATGTATGTTAATGAATTTGAATTAGACCCCTTAGCTGACTTCTACTATCCAACTTTAATTCCGCCTTTATCTATCCTAGCTAGTAGATTAGATATTCATAAAAAATTTCCTATTAGTATAGAATCTGCTGTAGTAGGAGGAATGAAATTATTTACCCTTGAAAAAAATAAACGATCCTCACTTTAGAATCTAATACAAATGAATTATTCTAGTGATAACTTATCTGCATTAATAGAAATAACTTGGAAGTGTGAAAAGACGAAAACTTGGAGGAACGACATACTCATAAAATTCCTCTATTATCCAAATTTAGCTCCTTCAAAGTATAGACTGAGTGCTTTATATGATGCATTAATCAAGACAGATGTTTTAGGACTGGAGCATATAATAGCTCTAGCGTGAATCATTTAATAAAATGTATTTACAACGCAAATAAATCAGTACATAGCCTTGGGATGGGGGTCTTATGACTATATATTTTTCACATATCATATTTACCTGCAGATTTTAAATCGATAAAATAACCTTTTCAACTAGACTATATATTATATTATTTTTCTGCTCATCTGATCTTTTACTGAACATGAACGGGTTCATTCAGAAATATTTTTCGAATTGAACTTTTTTGTACATAATATAAAATTAGTACGTTTTAATATTCTTGACTATACTATCACAAAAAACAATATGGCAAAGTAGCTACAGATTTCATGAAATGCCATAACTGGATCTTTGAAACTCTATCATCTGAACTAGCTAAATATACAGAGGAAATTAACAAAAGTTTGAAGGATGATTGCAAGGTAAGATTTAATGCCAAAATGCATTTTCAACAATTAGGGCTTACTAAGGAACAAGTAGAAGTTCTCATTCCTATCTGATCTTCTGGAAAGCATAAAGAAGGCAGGAATGCTGTTGATAAAATTGCCTAAGAAATTGTGGATAATAATTATTCGTCTAAGAAAATAAAACAAATTTTATATGATTTGGGTAATTCTGTGTCTAATAAAGTTGCTGAGGATTCACAGCTTACTTTATTACAAAAAAAAGTTACGGGATCATGAAGCTGATCATCTCAAAAAAAAAAGCGACCAAAAATTCCTTATATTACTATTGAATCAAATAAAATTTAGGCATAATGGCTTGTATTTGACAAATTTGAAGGTGTCGATTGGCCTGATCACTTCTTCTTAGAACTGATTCAGGAAAGACTTGAAAAATGTGATTTCTCTTTATCACCTTCTAAGGAAGATCTGGTTGATGTAATGATAATGTTAAGTATGCGACCGGCAGATGTGACAACTCTTTGTATTAATAAATATAAAGTATCAGATAAAATATGGTATAACCCTAAATATTCCTGGTATTATACTGGCTACTCTAAAACTAAAGTAGAAATAGGAGTATGAGAACCTCGGCCTTTCTTCTCAATGGAAAAGGATCCAATACGAGCAAAGGAGTTTCTTGCCTAGATTCAGAAAGCAATACCAGAAAAATTTCCATTCTTACGTAAAACAAAAGTGATATAGTTAATGTAAATCCAATTAACCTCACTCTAGCTAAATATGGAATTACTTTGAATAAATTGAGGAAGATAGGAGCGGATCATACTAGCAGGATCTATGGAGGTAGGAACGATTTTCACCATCAATATTTACGAAAGTTGGCTTGCAGACAAGTAGTAGGTCATCATGAATCAGTAGAAAGTTATGGTGTAATAAATAACCTACCTTCTTGCAATTGTTCGAAGGTATTCCTAAAGGACTAGGTAAAAATAAAAGAAAAAGTGGATTAATCCTGATAATGATTTGTATATGTCTGTCTGACTAGACAAAGGCATTCAAGTTCTTCGATGAAAACTAATCATATACTGTATATGGATTAGAGGATCGAGATATCATTTATTAATTTATTTTTTGTTTGAAGCAAGATATAACATATATAATATATCACAAAAATGGTAATCGATCAAAAGCATTCATCTAATAGTACAGATATCAAGCAGGAAGTTATCAGACGTACAGAGAAAATAGCCAAATTACTTGGACCTGAACAAGATGAAAATATATATAGTGCACTTTCCGTTGAAAATAGGATATTAAAGAAACAATTGAAAGATTATCATTCCCAACCTAATACCTTAGAAAGGAGGGTGAGAAAGATGTGAGATCCTTAAAAATCGAATTAAAAGACTAGATGAATGTGTGGATAGGTAGACTGTAGTCGACTTAATATAAGAAATAGCTTTAGTCTTCTGAAGGTGAGGTAAATCTTGAATAGTCCAAAAGAAAAACTCTTTTTGATTTTCAGACTGGATCATTGGTTCAAGGCAATTATATGGAAAGGAATTTTATTTGAAGCTGAAAGAGTGTAATTTAAGCAATGACTATCTAGAATGGTTTCTTAAAAATCAATTTCTCAGAGGATTATCACCCGAGAATACGTTTGAAGTTCTTATAAATGGTTTACAGGTGCTTGCGTTAGATGAGATAGTGGAAAGGCTTAGTTCAAAACAGTGATTCATGCAAAGCGCCTTTAGTCTTGCTCGAAGGATTTTTTTTTGTTTAAAGATATAATGTATAATAGATACTTTTTATGGCATATTCAAGAGTTTTTAGTATAGCAGAACTATTAGAGCAGATTTTACATTTCTTAGTGATAAATAAGTTACTATATCCTGCTCTATTTGTTTTTCGATTATGGTATAGATGCGGTGCTTCTATTTTATGGAAACGTGTTGAGCAAAAGAAAGGTAAAAGAGAGGATTGTACTTGATTGAAGAAATTTATGAAAATGGTACGGAAAAGACCAAAGCTGATTTTTAGCTCAAATCTAATACAGCTAGAAATTTCACACTACCATCCACTTTCAGATAAAAAATTCAATGACATTGTGTACTTATTTCCAAATATAGTTCATTTAGATTTAAATTTTAGCATAGGATTTAGTGATAAAACACTAAATTGAATAGCAGAAACATATTCAAATCTAAAGTATCTCAATTTGCAAAAGGATAAGTACATAAGCCATAATAGTGGGATAGTAACTAATAAAGGTCTATGTGCAATTGCACAGTCGTGTCCTAAATTAGAATATCTAAATATTTCTTACCGCATAGATATTACTGAAACATCAATTTGTAATGTTATTCATTCTTGCCTAAGGCTCCAGTATTTTAATCTTAGCTTTTGTAAAATTACCGATAAAACTATCGAAGAGATTGCTAGCAAATATCTTAATTTAAAATACCTTAATCTGGAAGGGTGTTATAAAATTAGCAAAGAGGCTATGAATCAGCTAAATCCAAACACCCATGTCAAGAATTACCGGAATCCGAATGATATTCAAGCTGAGATAGAGCGAGTGATAGAGCTAATATTAACATAACCTTCAGTTGCTAATATTAGAACTCAGTTTCACCTGGTATTCTGACAACCTAATTCCAATATATTTATGACAGTTGACTCTGGTGCCGATCATTCCATTATAGCTATAAACAGACAACCACTGAGAAATTATTTTGATAGAATACTAGCCGATCAAGCCAGATGGTGGAACTTTAGATGAACTAGTAGATAGACTGGTTAAACTTAAAGTGTTAGAAAGATATACTAACTAATTTATTTTATTTTTTGATTAAAGATACAGCATATACTATTTATGACGCATTTAAGCATTTTTATTATATCAGAACTATTAGAGTGGATTCTATATTTTTCCCTGAGTGTCTTATCGCTCAACCACGCTAGGTCTCTGAGAAGGCGGAATTTTCTGGCTTCAAATTTATGAGAAGGCAGGGGAAATGACCTGAGATATGAGCATTATTTTCCAGAAGATTATAATTATTGTACAAGAGATCGTACTCAATGGAAAAGATTTGTAAAAGTAATGTATAAAAAGTATAAGCCAGCTTATGTCTCAAATATAACTCATCTAGAAATTACTTTTTACCATTCACTTTCAGATAAAAAATAAAAAGTATTGTAGAAACATTTCCAAATATAATTCATTTAGATTTCAAAGATAGTATAGGTTTTAGCGATCAATCACTATTTGTAATAGCGAAATCATATCCTAATTTGTGATATTTTAATTTGTGATATGCTCAAATAACAGATAAAGATTTATATGCAATTACGCGATCATATTATAAATTAGAATATTCCTTCTTCGGTCAAGACCTTCAGAATACCTAACATAATAGGGTATCTTTTTTTCAAATTTATGAGAAAAAAGGATTGTGAAGATATAAAAGATGCTAGTACTTTAATACGAAGATATTTTAATATAAAGTATTTTAACTTTAGTAGGGTTATGGCTTTGCAGAATGATGTATTAATTATAGCTATTATCAAATGATTTCTGAAGTTGAGACATATAGAAATCAGTGGTAATGATATTGATGATGAGATTACTGAAGTGCTAGCTCATACTTGTTATAAAATATCTTGATCTAGATTGCTGTTCTTTTATCAGTAAATTATCGATTTGTAATGTTATACGTTTCTGTTCAAAGCTTCAACATTTTAACCTTAGTTGCTATAATATTACTAGTATGACTATCAGAGAAATTGCTTGCTCATGTTTCAATTTAAAATTTCTAGATTTGGATGGGTGTGAAAATATTAGCAAAAAAGCCATGCATCAGCTAAATCCAAATATTCATATCGAAAATTTTGATGAAGAGTACTGCTCTGATTCAGAATCTTCTAACTCTTGCTTTGAAACTGAATCAAATGATGAGGATGTCTATAGTAATAATACACTTCTTCCTGTGTTTATGGGTACGATTGATATTACAAACGATTTTATTTCTGAACTTCTTAATCAGAATAGTGATTATCAGCTCAGAAGAATTTGCTGATTCATGCACAGTGCCTGTCTCTTCATTTTTTTCTTCGAGATTTTAAATTCACTTTTCTAAAGTCAAGATTTTGGTTCGTAAAAAGAATAAGAGACATATCCAATCTACACCATCGGCAACTTCAATATTAGCCAATGAGACTCAGCCTAAAAGTTTTACAGTTATGAATACAGAATTGCAAGAACTTATTCGTTAAGGTCTAGTAGTTGATGAAGTTTATGAAGTATTATCATATGATTAAAAAAATATGCCTTGAATTGATGACTTTATTAATTTTTTGATTAAGCTCAAAAACTAATGCGATGATCCAAGAGAAAAGGCATATTACTTCTTAATGAGAGAACTCTTTAATATGAAGGTATTTCATGATATATCCATTCAAGATGAACTCGTCTTCAAAGCAGAATATTATAGAAATAAAATAGATACTCGTATAACTAATTTTATCATTCTAATGAGGCAAGGTAAAAAGGATGGTTAAGCTGTGGATCAGTTGCGATATTACACCAACTAATAACTACGGAAATAGTGATAGATTTACTTAATGATACTGAAAATGGAAGTCCTGAAATGTATGAACAAATAATCATTTTCTAAAAGATATTCTCCCAAAGTCACATAAAATTTTTTTGGCAAAATCCATTCTCTCAGGAAACAATCAGCTGAAGTAATCTATATATTTTACTTGACTGTTTCTATATTACTAACGAACTTTTAAATATTTCTATTCTTATATAAAATTTATTGATGTCAAACACTTAATCCAACGATTCATTAAGGGAATTAAATTCCAAGCTCTTAGCTGAGATTGGCAAACTTAGGAAGAAGTTTGCTGAGATTAAGATCAAAAATGATGAGCTTAACAATATGAATACTGAGATCCCTGAATTTAAAAGGAAGTTCACTGAGATTGAAGCTGAGAGAGTTGAACTTAAGGTCAGGATTGCTGAACTTCTAAAACAGGGTGTGGAAGAGAACAAGAGACGTGATGCTGAGAATGCCAAGCTCAAGATCAGAATCGAGGAGTTGGAGAAAAATAAGGCAGATTCTTCAGCTGAGAATGTTAGGCGTGATATTGAGATTACTGAGATTAAGGCTAAAATAGTGAAACCAATGGACAATAATGAAGAGAACAAGAGTTAACCTTCCTTCAAACAGATAATATTTCTAATGAAATAGTTTCAGGAAATAGGCAGAACAATAATACTATAGATTCGAACACTAATACAATGAATTCAAATACTAGCGAAGCACCTTTTAGTAGTATTTAAGTATTCGATTCTGTAATAGATCAGCCAAATAATGAAGTAGGACAAGCAGTTACCTCTGATGATACGTTTAGTAATAATGCCAACATCGAATCATTGGAAGATAAGAAAACTGATGATTTCTTGGATAAGAAACATAAGAAAAAGATAAGTGATGAGATTAGAGAGAAAAAGCGGGAAGAAAAACTATATTGTGAATCGATTGCTCAGGTTTCAGTTATTTTTAACTCATCATGTAATACAAAAACCGTTGCGTTAGGAAACGATCAAAGTCATGTGACTTTGAAAACTGAAGTATCTGTGGAATAAGATGATGACATGATTCCAGAGGAATCGCTTGATGAAAATCAAATCATAGAATAAGGCTTAATACATGAATTATGTTCATTCATATTACCTAAAGATAATATAAACTCTACTAAAATTACCAGCCCTTGCATTAGTTTAGAGAATATGGTTTCAGGTTCTGCCTAGCATTTATCTTATTTATTTGAAACAGCAATAAAATTCAGTCAGCAGGAAATATTAGTTTAGCACAATTATTCCATTAAATTTGAGAGCAAGGTAGATGCTCTTTTAGCTGATGATAGAATTAAGGATAAAACAGCAAGATTAATGATTTACAAGAAAATAAAACAATTTCTCCCTACTAAAATCACACAAGCTAACTTGCGTAAGAAAACTCATAGGGCTAGAAAACATCTCATGTTATTTGGAAAAATGGAGTTGGAATAGATAAAATTAAGCTGGTCTCATATAGCGTAACCGAGATTTCAAAACTAACTAATGCACAAATCCAAAATGTTATAGATCAAGTAAAAAAATATACTAGTGTTTATTAGAGTCATGTGACTTTAAAAACCGTTTTCTCAGGAAATGATCAGATTAAGGTTGAGGTAAATACATCAGCAAATATATTATCAGAATCTCAATCTAAACCAACTTATGATTGCACTTATTTTCGCAATAAGACATTAGATCAATATCTTAACTTATATAGAGAATTTAATAGTGAAAATTTCGATTATTATGAAATTACTGACAAGACATCATGCTCATTTTGCAAGTTAGATCATGACTATGAAGAAAGCATAGAAGGTAGATATAAAATTGGATCCTATTTTATTAAATGTGAACAGTGCGAAATTGAGATAACTGCATAATCTCATTATTTTATAATATTATATTTGCGTTTCTCTTGAGAAACTATTTTTTACAGGTCAACTACTACCTAATTAAATTTAAATTGATTCATATAAAAAGCAACATAACCAGGTCTGATAAAATATTAACTCCTGAATATCTGAACTGGTATGCTAAATTAAGTGGGTTACCAAGCGTTTTGACAGATAAGATTCGTACCAAATTATACAAAAGATATAAAAAAGAAACTGGATGTGAACCATGGCAATTATCAGAAGCTGTGACAAGTGTATCAGCAAAACCTCAAGCCTCCGATTTCGAGCCTATCACTTACGAAGCCAAACCCTATCCAGAATTAATTATTGATTCCGTCTTAAAGCATTTCACATACCTGAAATTCCGAAATAGTTTTAGGGGGATTGATAATTATAATTTTGCATTAGCTCAGCCATGGAACTCATCATGCCCTATTTGTGATGGAAAACATGGGAATTATGGATTACACGGCGAATGGTATAGAAATGGAACAGAATATTGTCTTACCTGCAACAGTTCAAGCAATAAACTCAAGTTCGCGATTGTGGCTTAGACCAGTCATGTGAAATCGATCAGTACGAATGCTATTCGCTCCATTCATAGCTCGGTTAAATTAGTAGGGCTGTGCAACATAAGATTTTTGGTCATCAGGACTAATACCTAGTTTCTATTCCAAGGATCTAGTCTAGTTACTAATCATGAATGCAAACAAATGAAACGGACTATTAGGTTAGAGTGATGGTACAATGAATATAGCAAGTATCAGGAGGTGGATAGATTAGACGTGATAAGACTTTATCACCTCTCGTGTATCATTGTATCAAGCGAATTTGTATCACGATCTAAGATCCGATGTGTATTTTTTATTTACAATATAAAGCAAAGATGCATTAAGCACTATAGTTGTGGGAATTGAGTGATTGTATTTGCATCCCAATAAATGCGCAGTATAATATTTGGGAAAATTATTGCTGAGATGATTGCTGTGTAACATAAGAAAAAATTAACCATAACTTCTTGTAGACGCGTAGTATTTTCGAACTTTCTTGCAGATACTCATGTAATAATAATAATAAAAACGACCCTTTGTTGATCCAAGGGGCACGATCCCATATGGTTAGCGATCAAGGCTTTTATTATGTTTTTGAGCGAATCCGTTGATTTGTTTTTTTGTGATGCCATCATAATTCCCCAAAGATTTATTCCAAATTCAATTCTTGGACCGCTATAAATCATATAAAAAAGAAGGCAAGACAGCTAGTGAATCCTTTTATCTGTCTTGCACAAATATATGCAAAAATCAAGTAAACTAATAAAATCTAATCAAACTTACCAATATTTACATCGTTAATATTCATAATCAAAATAAACGAGAAGTGATAATAAGGTATATTTGTTTTATTGTTTGTGTCATCACCTTTTCATTCAGGAAAATCGATCGTTGGCACGTGCGAAATTTGGCAACATTAGAAACCATATGATCCGATTGATAAATTAAATAAATCATCAATCAGAAGTTCAAACATTTATTGATAAATGGATTCATCAATCAATACTTGCCAAAAGGTTTCTACCGATTAAAGTTAAAAAAGACTTATTTAAATAAAAACAAATTTTAATTTTTTTAATCCTTGATCCGTATCATGAAAAAATTATTTTCTAGAAAGAAAGGTTCGGCTTTTTGAGGTTTTGATGTAGAACTTTCAATCATATTGTACTGATATTCTGCTAATTACAGCTAAAGGCAAGTCTACCATTATCCCAAAAGGCAAGACTGTTAATGTTGAAGGCGCTTCAACTGTTAACGTTGAAGATACTTCAGCCGGAAATGTCGGAGACACTTCAGCTGGAAATGTTGAAGGTACTTCAGCTAATACGAAACAAAAAACTACAACTGAAGACATTCAAATCATCAAAGAATTAGACTCCCTTCATCTTGACACTCCACCCGAAACTGTGAATTCCCTTCGTGCGTATGAAAAAAAACCTGGTTATGCACAGAAGTTTTTAGGTATGATCAAAATATTCTTCATATATTTTATCATTCTATTGCTTAATTAGCTAATGCCTTTATAGATCGTATGGGAGATAGTTTTAGGTGGCCTACTTCTATGCACGAAAACATCAGAAGTCAGATCTTTTGGGCCTTCACTAATGAAATTGATGCTGATGAAATTGACCAAGAATTCGCGCTCAATTGCATTTATTTTTATGAATGTCTTGAAAAGGGACTGTTTAATGATCATAAAGAAGACTGGGTGCTGGTGTACAAACAGAAAGTAGTTAAATATGGAAAAGCACTTACAAATCAGCAAATGTCAGACCTTGAGCTTGAAATGCCTGGCGCCCTTTATTTTCCAGTTGATTCATCACTCCTTGAAAAAATTGCCAATCCTAAAATTCCCCCAGCGAGAGCAGTACATTCTCAGCGCTCCAATGATGGAGGAGAATATATGGTTTGATATATCTATACTTAGCTTTTTTTAAATCTGTATTACCTTTACTTTCATTTAACTGTTAATTAATGATAAATAATATTAATAAAGATTAAAGTTCGCGTTAAAAGAGTTGGAGCTGAAGATACAAGTTCCGCCATGCTTGATTATCAATTTAACGATGGAAAAAATAGTAACAAACTTTATAAGACTGTTCTTGATATAGGTGCTCCGGAATCTATACTACCCTATGAAATCCGCTCACACCTTGGAAAAGCTGGATGGCAATCAGTTACAGCCACTGCTCCAGGATATGGAGCGCCTGCCAAATTGTTTTTGGCTAAAGACCCGTTTCAAATATCAATAGGGGATGAACATAATTGGAGCGGTTGGGTAACGACCAACACTCTTCGAGTGAGGGAACGAGTACCTGGTGACCAGGTAGATTCTTCTCTGGTCGGAAATGATGTGCTGGATCAATTAACTTATGTCCATCAGAAGGGAGGAGGACTTATATTCTTGAATGCTCGGCATGAAAATCAATTGGGAACATTTTTAAATAACTTGTCACCATGACATATTTATTACAGATATTGCATAAAATAACCTGTTTTATTTTTTTAATTGTATATTCTACATGCGTTAATGATCACTGCTAAATTTAATAAATACTTTTTGCCAAACATCATTTGCCAAGATTTTCCTGAAGATACTGCGCCATTTTTTCTGCTCAATTTTGGCGAGCCTGGACAAGCAGTCCAGACTCTACTACCATCAGAAAAAAATAATATTTTTTTTGCATGTGCATTTTATTCGTAATCATTTTCCCGAATTCCCATTATGCTTATCCGGCTAAAGAAAAAATCCGAACCTGATTGGCCGATCATCTTGTGATTTACAGAAACTCGCCAGCTCCTGGAACTCTCCTAGAACTATCGAGGAACTGTCGTGGAACTGGGGTGATACATGTGATATGAATACGTCGTGCCACAAACCGATTTAGATGCATATGCATGTAAATATAAAATTAGCATAGCCCAAGATATGACCCTATATAAATCCCAATTGAATAAAATGAATTTGTATTTACTAGTGTGTAGTCTCACTAAATCGGCTACAAATTAATAAAACAGCTATAATTCATTAAAACTGCTTAACCAGCAAATCCGTATAAAAATGAATCTGATATTTATTAAAGTATACTATTGCTAAATCAGCTAAAATCGACAAAAAAACACTATAAAACGCAATTACTAAATCTGCTATACATTGCTATAAATCGTTTAATATGTCAGGAATTCATATTAACAGAACAAGGCCAAATAAATGTATTGACATTATTTTAGACAATGATTATAATAAAATTGTGCCTAAACCCATCAATCTTTATCCTGGATACGATATAGAATATATTAGAAACTGTTATGGTTTTCCTTATCCTGGTCAATTTGAAAAGATGGTTGAGGTTGAAAAAATATATGATAATTTATCTATTATTAGTTCGTATGAAACTCCACAGCAATGGGCTATTCATGTAAAAGATGCTTTGCAAGCATTGATTACTGAAGGTCATGAAAGCTATTATCATATATTCTGCCTTTTCGGATCATCTAGGCAAGAAGTAATCAAGACATACTATGATAACTATGAAGGGAGAGAAGTTGCCATTGGTTATCACAGACCTAATATTCACAATAGCAAAATGGCTATTTGCTTTGATTGTTGGAAATTAGTAAAGATCACTGATGTAAAACCAAAAAAAATATATTTCAGTAGATAGCGGAGATATGGGTATGAGATTAAGCCTGAAGACTTGATGAAACATCATTGGGATAACTCATGTTTTAAGACTAATAAACATAAAGAAGCGCATCTTCTCACAAGCTTAAAGTCAGAAATATTGCGTGAAAAATGTTCTGATTGGATGAGATACTATATCCCGAAAAAAATACATCTGATTCTTTGTTTGCTGAGTAAACAGGCAAAATATTTATCTCATCTCTATTTGTGAAACAAAATAACTTACTATAATCTATAAACCATCTTAATCAACTCGCATTAAGAGATAAGACAAAAGTCATAATTGTTTAACCGGTTTGACTGATTGATTCCAAAAAATATTTTAATTATAAACTATTACTTTTAACTGAAATATAATTTATTTTTTGCGCTATATAATTTACATGTATGATCATTTAGTGAAATTGTGAATGTATCACCTACAGAATAAAAAATGTGATCTGCCTATTCTGGGTTAGATCCTCTAATATGTAACTATTATAGTAAAGTATTTTTCAAGAAGTTCAGGAAGATCAATGGGAATTCTTAATTGTAAGACAATATAACTATCAGTTTGAAAATTTCTATGCAACAATTATCCAGCGAGCTTATAGGAATTATAAGAAGAGACTTGTATCTTTGGCAAAACAAGTTTGGAAGGTGATAAAGAATGATGGTACTCCTGACAGGTGGAAGTATTAGGTATTATTCCTTGTGATAAGGCTTATTATTATATTAATGAAAAACTCATAAAATTTAACTGGAAAAGCGATTATTTTAATATGCTATATAATGATGCTTTTGCTAATGATTTATCACAATTAGGACATATAACAATTGAAACATATTATATCTTGATAGAAAATCCTTTTTAAATATGATAATGTGCATATTGAGTAGCCTCAATATAATAAGAATTTATCAAAGATAAAGTTAATAATATATTGACACAATTTAATCTTCTGAAATTTCTTGAATCTTACCAGTTGTGTTAGTAAGAAAAAAAAATAAAAAACCATATTTTTGCATTAATATAAAAAACTTAATAATATTACTTAACAAGATAAATATCTTTTATCTCATATTGATAAATTACTCGATAAGTTTGAAAAAGCAAAATATTAGAATTAGCTAGTAGATACTAGCAGATTGCAATAAATCCAAATGATTAAGTTAAAACAGTTTTTATCACTAGTCAAATACTTTATAAATTTAAAATTATGCCATTTGAACTTACAAATGCCTCTGCAATGTTTCAATATCTTATGAATAAAATATTTAGAGAAGAAATTAGACAATTTGTAGTTATATATCTTGATGACATAATTATCTTTTCAACTATATTTGATGAATATCTGCAACATTTACAGTTAATTTTCAAAAGATTATAGGATGACTTGGAAAGGATAAATATGAATTTGCAAAATTAGCATTAGCATTCTTAGGATATATTATTAGTAGACAAGAAATTTCATCTAATTCTTTTAAAATTGATAAAATTAAAAACTTTCCTATTTCAAGAAATATCACAGAATTGTGTGGATTTTTAAGCCTAGTATCATACTATAGGAGATTTATTAAGGATTTCTCAACCTTAGTCATATCTTTACATTTATTATTATGAAAAGACACACTATATATTTAGACTGAACTATAACAAAAAGCCTTTAAACATTTGAAAAATTGTTAACTACTACATCTGTTCTTATTTATCCTGATTTTAAATGAAAATTCTTACTCTTTACTAATAGATCTTATATAGAACTTGAAGCAGGATTAGCATAATTGAATAATAATAATAAGAAATATGTCGTATCTGAACATTTGACTGAAAGCCATTTGACTGAAAACTATTTGTCACATATATGCATATATAAATAACAATTTTATAGTAACTGTATCAATTGAAGTGTGATGTTTAATGCGGTGACAAATAGATTCGGTCAAATGGGCTTTCGGTCAAACGTACTGTAACCAAAATATGTTATAGTTTATACTAGTCAAATATAAGTGTTGGTGAATAAAATTATGCTTCAATAAAATTGGGGTATCTTGCTGCTATATAAGGAATAAAACATTTTTGATCTTATTTACTATACTAATAATTTGAGTTAAACACTGACCATATAGCCTTATAATGGATCTTTAATAAATCAGGTTCTTCTTATAAATTTATGAGATAGATCATTTGTATATTAAAATTCCTTTATCAAATTCAATATAAAAAGGAAAGTTACATTCAAATACTGACGCATTGTCTTGACAATAGTATAATTATTTTATTAAAAATTTTAGAATACAAGTAAAAGTACTAGTAGTATGACGAACAGCTCTATAATATGAATTTCTAACTTATTACCAAATCTTCTAGTATCTTACTTAACTCACTTATTCTCCAAATCTTACTACTTTATAACAACTCGTGATTCAAAAATAAGTACAATATTATTTTATATAAAATCAATAAATTATAGATGTAATTAATCTTAACCTCTACTCATAGTAAAATAAATAAAGTCAAAAATATTCTACATAATATCCACAATGAACCTTTAGAAGAATATTTAAGATGAGATATTATATATAATAAGATTGTTTCTCAATATTATTAGCCAAATATGTATTATTGATAATTGGATATGAACATGTGACATATGCTAATGATAAGAAAAGCCAAAACCTAAAGAATTCCTGTATTCTATACCATTAGACAACTATTTGATTGTATAGTAATTGATTATATAGAGTCACTTCTATGTATTACTAAAAGAAGTAGATATATTCTTGTCGCTACTGAATATCTAACTAAATGGATTGAAGCTATTGTAATACCAGATTGTATTACTCAAACTACTGCACAATTTATTTATAATGAGATTATATATTAATATGGGATGCTAAAAAAAATATTAATTAATAGGTTTACATCATTTCAAAACAAACTAATTATCACATTATTACATATAGTTAGGACTAAATATAGATTATTGTTATTTTATTATTCTTGACAAATAGACTAATAGAATGGTTTAATAGAACTTTGTATACAATTTTAGCAAAGTATGCTGATTAATATCAGAGATACTTATTTAATTTCTGCATTTTTTGTATATTAAATAACATAGCAAAAAATAATAAAATATGAATCATTTGAATTATTATATGAATAAAAAGCAGTTTTACTGATAAATCTATAATTGTAATGACCTTTACTTTTCATCAATTTACCAGATGCTATAGAAAAAATATCAATAGATAATCTTATTACAATTATAATAATGATGATTAGATACATAACAGAATATTTTATGTAATGATAATAATAGTAACAGAAATATTATAATAAGGATTGACACAGAATTTTTTTATCAAATTAGAGATAAAATTTTATTATTTAATATGATACAATCACATATTTATAAAAACAAATTTAAAGATTAATTTAATGAACCTTTTTATATTCATTATATTGTAAGACCTGACTAGTATTTATAAACTCTGTGTATTAAATGAATGAGTTAGAAAGAATCCTATACATGAAGATCTTTTGGAATCATATTTGTAAAGGATTGAATAGGAGTTACAGATCATCATCAAATAATGATTAACATTAAAATATTATAAATATGAGTATATTTTAATACTATATTACTTTTTGGACTACTTATTACCAAAATGAACTTCAATAATTATGAAAATATTTTAAAAATTCTGTGATTCTTTATAATCAAGAAATTCAACCAATAATACTACTATATCAAATTAATGTAATGTTAACTAATAAAGTGTGATTAACC